AGCGAAAAGGATCACTCCTAGCTTCTCCTCCAGGTCTGTTGCTGTGTCTATCTCTTGGCTAGGTGACAGCCATGCGTCTGGGGAATTCTGAATCACGATGGACCTGTCCAGCAAAAATGATTATTCTTCAACTGTGTTGCTGATACTCATCGTGAAGCATAGTCTGCTGAGTTTTGCTTTCCTGAGACCAGGCACCATTGAGCTTGAGGGATGGTCTCTTGGATTTTTAAAACTCTCTTCTGCACGAATTCTTCCTACCCCGACGGATGTGAACTGATCCAGTGTTACATTTTTGTTTAAAGAGTCCATAGAAACACTGGGATTTCTTGGATGTTGAGCTGCTGGGCAACGTACTGGGTTAGGTTGACTAGGACCGAGGCTGCTGTGAGCTGTAGTCTAGGTGTAGTGAGATTCTTGGTGGACTCTACCTTGCTTTTACCACAGACCAACAAGATGTTAACTTGGTCTGGGTTAGCAACGTTCAGGTAGTCTACTCTGGCCAAGCACCGATTGGAGGCATCTGCAAACCCGCGGTTTTCTCCGCTAGTATTATTGGTGAGGCCCAGCCATCTGGGGATTGCCGTCTCTGCCAGATGGTTAAGTTCCCCTCTGAATTATGTCCATTGCTTCTGGACTCTATCTGACAGTGTCTCGTCCACATCCAATTTTTCGACTCATAGCGTCTGTAGTAACATCTTGGCTCGTATAACAACTAGGGCGAGATATCTGAGGGGATCATAGAGTTGAGCTACTTCTGATAGCATAACTCTCTTGATGATCGGTGAGCTGATAGGGGCATTGGATGAGAGGAAGAACTTGTGGGTGCTGGAGAACCACGACAAGCCCAATACCTTGGTCTCTGAGTCTTCTTAGGATCGTATTTCTTGAGAAACATCTTGGGGTGAAATACTTTCTAGGAGCTCTGGGCCATTACTGTGCCACTTGGCGAGTGGGAACTGACACGCCATGCAGAGATCCTGGACTTGTTGGGCGACTTCTCGGAATCCTTGGTGTGAGTCAGCACTACCGCAGATATCGTCTTGGGTGGGTGGTGCGACTGCTAAGGGGTATTTATGTCCCTCATCAACTACGAGTTGATTGAGCATCCGCACGGCGAGAGTGGGCGCCAATCTTGTGACATACGTAACTGTGGTGAGTTGACACGTCTGGGTTCATACTCGGGGGTCAATCCGGAGTATCTGCTCGAGCGGCCAGTCATCTGGGTGAACTTGGATTTGGCAGAACATCTTGGTTATGTCTGTCATGAATACGAGTCTGAGATATTATTCTGTACCTCCCCCCCCAGTATGCATAATATCGTTCAGCGATTTGCCGGTACCTGTCTTGTTGGAGCGACTCTCTCTAAGGACTCCATGATGCGAAAAGAAATACTCGTGAGCTGGTTAGGTCCGGCCCAGCCGGCCCTCCCTCGAGAACCTCGATCCTCCTGCTACTGAAGCACCATGTACCAAGGTCATCTCGGAAGATTACCGACTGACCGCCGAACTCTCACCATGGTGCTGAGATGAGACAAGCCTCATGTGTGCTAGGTTCTCGTATTCACTGAGAAATTTTGAGTATTTCTTGGCTAGCGTTGGATCCTTATTAATCCTCTTCAGGAAGGTGCTGAGACAGGCTGGCGCGCGTGACTTGGAATCTCCAAGTTCACATGGTGTCGAGCACAGCGGCAGTCGTACTTCTTAACGACCTGAACTCTCTCTGGTATGAGTTTTCATGAAGTGCTCCTCGCACTCCAACTCCTCTAAGCAGAGCGTTGCATTTGTCGCAGCTGGGACTTCTTCTTAGGTCCAGAACGTCGTGAAAAGTTCTTGGAGATCGTCATTAGTGATGGTCGTATGGTGAAAGGAGATCTTGGCTGAGCTATGATGCTCTGGATCAAAAACATTCCAGCCAAACTTGGTGCGCTGGGCGACTGGAGCATGTGGGTCTGCTTTGACTATCGCTTCCTTGATGATGCAGCCGTAAACGTCTGCCCTGAGGAGGACTATCTATTAGCGCTGGAACGAGAAAACCTGGATCATCTAGCTGAGCTGATCGCTGTGCGGCCAGCAGATATTTGCGGCAGAGAACGAGGGTGATAACGTCCAGATTTCAGCTAGAACATGGGCTGTTAGCTCAAGTGTTCGGACTGAGTGAATGGAACGCAGTGATAGTTTTACAGTGCCTCGGGTGTGCCCAGGTGCTGATTCTCATATTCCGGTGATGTTAATCGTCGAGTGCATTCGTCGGATGTGTAACTCTTTAGCTAACTTTTCCGAAATAAATGATATCTCTGAGCTAGGGTCTGTGAGCATGCGCACCTTATGAAAAGGACTGGGATTAATGATGATATGAGCTAGGCAGTTGTGCTTCGATTGACAACTGTGAATTGGGTGTTCACAGTTGTTTGCCGAAGCAGTTGTAGCTCAATCCCTTATTAGCTACAATCTCCTTGCGAGCACCCGGCTTCAACTGAGCATATTCAGTACACACAGCGATGTAATGATCATCTAGACCCATTGAGTATGGGAAACGCCTCATATCCGCCCAGGACGATGTTGGTTCTGTTTTCCCTATCCCAGTCGTGTTAGCTACCAGCACTTTGCAGGGGCGTACTGAGGGCTTCCCTTGGATTTGATGGGTGTTGCCTTTTTAAGAGGAGCGTGAGGACACAGTCTTGGTAGCCACCGAAACCGTCGGGTAAAGACTCAGACCATGTTGCTGTTCGACGTATAGCCCGAGCACGACCGATGATGAAATCCTTTAAGGCAGCGTAACTGGTATACGTTGTGCTAGAACCAATTTTGTTCTCCCGCGATTCTGGAGTCCTGCTGTCTAGACGTCTGGCTACTATGTGGACGAGGATAATATCCCACTGATCAACTGGGCAGTCCAGTGCCTTGAGTGCGTTCAGGGCCTCGGTTACAGTGCTCAGTAGAGTATTGAGTTCCTTGACTGGATAAGCGCAACGCTGAATACCTTCTCTTACTTCGTGATGATGAAAAGTCCATGATTCTCGTATCGAGCAAAGAGCTATTCCCACGCAGGAGTGAAGGAGTCCTCTGAGAGAGGTTAGCTGGATATAATTCACTAACTTCCATGTGAATGTGGGGAGTTGGATTTTAGGAAGCGTTCTGGGTGCTGGCTGGTACAAGAATCCAGTGTTCAATCTGTAGAACGACTGCGATAAGATATCAGCCTCATCTGCCGAGTCGACCTCGGCTCTGATCTGAGTGATCAGCTTGATCCTGGCGATTGTGGAGAGGTAGGCGTCGTACACCTTGCCTGTGACGTACTCGTGGGAAAGAATGGAGGGGTCTTTGCCTCCAACTAGCTTCTCGTGCATCTCCTTAAATTCCGCCCAATACGTTTCGAGCATGTCGATATGTGTCTGGAGTACAGTAATATCCAAGGCTTTGAAGCTCTCTTTAACGACTTCCTTGGAGAGTTTCTCAATAAACGTCGCTCGGCCCCTCTGGATATTAACTCGCTCTTTGAACGACATTTCAAAAATGTAGGTTGTGATCTGAGATGCTGAGATCTCGAGATAGGTCGGAACAGTTGTCAATAAGTTACCGACCGCGTTGTTGTATCGACCACTGGGTTCGCCACCAGCAGATGACTCTGCTTGGCTCTTTCTAAACTAGAGTCCTTTGTATTCAGTTGAACCTCACTAGGAGCCGCTCACTAGATACAATGATGTTATTGTTTTGAATCCGCTTACACTACCCACTCTAAACACTCACGACCTTTATCCGGCTCGAAGGACCATGTTTCATGGGTTTGGAATGTTGGAAATTTGGGTCTGAAGGAGTGAGTGAGTGGGACTGCTGTGAAATTGAACTGTGTTTGATTCTAGGAGGGAATAATTGAGAACACTGACTATTGTCACTGAGGCTTTTACTGTTCCAAATTATTGTCTACACTAATCACTGTACAAAATAATGTAAAACATTCGGACTGCAGTTGAGCAGCGAATCACAAAAAAAAACTCCACAATTATGCGACCTCACTGGAGGGTCTAAGGACGATTCAATTATACAAAATGTTAAATTAGATGAATGAGACACTTTTAGACAATGCGTTAACGAAACACTCAGGATGAGTAACTCTGGACATGTGCTTAGCGTTATACTGGTTGTTACTCTGGGTACTGGGAATATAAATTAGCTTGGTAGTGGAGGGGATACTGGGGACCAAAAACGCGGGCGATCGCATAGTCGCGGCATCAAGCCTCTTCGACCAAGGTAGGTATCTATCAGTGCCCGCTGAGTGCGGCCACTCGGAGTGATGACAAATGATACATCAAAGAGTTTACCGGCGGGCGACTAGCGGGATTATTGACTAAATAAATTTCTTTAAATGAGTCTGGGAGAGAGATTTATCGGAGCCTACAATTTTTTTATCTAAAATTGTTTCTAATTTTGAAAATACTTCTGCAAGAAGATTCGACTCGATCGGTGAATTTTTTTTTTTTTAATACATTAATTTGGCTCACTCCTTTACTTCGTTGTACCGAAAAAAATTGTATCCAACGTAGTTAAGGAATTTCTAAGGGCTGAGCTCATCCTCCAATGATGATAAACTGCGTGGCATTTGGGTCCAAAAATTAAACTGATCATTTATATAAAGTTCGAAACGAAATTGGCTAAACTGTTGGTTCATACACTCATAATCCAAATTATATTGGATTAAAAAGGAAAAGTTTAAAGGAATAATGGAAAGTTATCTTAATGAGTCCCACCAACTGGCAACTGGTACCCGTGGTATTATCTGCTGCGTCACACGACTACGATGATCTGGTTAGTTATTGCGTTTTAAATAATTACACAATGATAGTCCGAGTTCAGAATGCTCGACTTACGGTATTTGGAAGAAGCCATCAGGAAATGATCGAGAGGTTTCAGTACTTCATTATTGAATTATGATTCAATACTATTACACTTAAAACAGCAATTCTATTTTATTACTAATACATAAAAAATTGCTTGGTCATTTAGGCAAAGATGCTTGCAAGGCACAGAGAAACTTTCTGAGTCCACGAATTGGAGTAGCGGAGGACAAAATTGCTCAGTATGCTGGCATCCACTATTACACTGACAAAGAGCTTCCAGTGCAGAACGAAGCATCATGCAGGTCCGCTTGCGAGCTAGAAAACGAATTCCTTTGCAGGTCTTATCTCTATCGTGGTTTGCCATTTGGAACAACTTATAACTGTCAGCTTTTCCATCTGGATCACTGGACTCTACCGGACGGCCCCTCGACTTATCTAAATGCCGAGAGACCCCTCATCGATAATGGCGACAGAATTGGGAACTACTATGAGAATTTCTGCGAGAGTATGTCGTCGTTTGGAGAACGTATCCCCTAGCAATTGATCGATATCATTTTAATATTTATTCATTCAACAGAACCAGCAGAACTGCCCTTTTTTATTGAAACTACGGAAGATCCAACACTCAATAATTTTACAAAAAGTACTGACGTCAACTGTGATAAAACTGGAACTTGTTATGATGGTAAGTAAGTTACAATTGGTTGATTCCTAGAAAATTGAATTATGTTGTTCGATTTATTATCCTCACAATGCCTTTACTCGAATATGGGCTTGCAGGACGAGCCGAAGGCGGGCTCACCTCATAGAAAATGACTTATTTAACGAGTATGACTACAATCCTTACCTTCGGCTCGAGCTGTAAATCGCTACCCTCGTCGCCAACGTCGTTCACCAACTCGTTAGATAAAATACATTTTTTTCACGTACGTGTCAATAGCGTGGTTTTCCACAGCGGGAAAAAATGAGTATGGAAGCATATTAGGGGACCAGGGGTTCCTCTTCCTCTCACTGAAGCAAAACCAATATCAAAAGAAATTCTAAGTGTAGAATAAATATTTAGTAACCAAAAAAAACATCAAATGAAGAAAAATTCGAGAGTAAATTTTGGTATTATGATATAAACAAAGTGACACGAAAGTAGCAATAATATATTCTCAATAAACTTCAATTTGTCTTAATAGATCGCCTGAGAATTTTTGAAAGCCAGTCATTTTCGCAGAAAATGGAGTTATTTACACCAGGAAAAAATCCAGGAAAAAATTGAATGCTATCTACTTATCAATTAGTAATTCGACTCGGAAAACTCCTCAGCACTGATGAGCTATAGCACGCTTAATAGTCGGTCCTAGTTTGATTAACCGTATTCGGCATCAAATCTGGTACCCACTTAGGATGTATGGGCCGAATCATGATTACCTTATCTAGACCGAGACAATATAATTCGATCATTTTTTGAGTTTTTGTGAGCTCATATTGACCAACATCTTTTGCCCGATATCACAGACATCACAATCCCTTCAGTAATTAAGAAAATCTGTAGCTGTTGATAACAATTATTGATTAATAAAATAGAAAAAAAACGAACCATACTTGTATAATGGGACCGACGTCGGTGGCCGAGTGGGCTAGACGCAAGTAATGTGCGAAAGGTTGTGAGTTCGATTTCCAGTGGGACCGAATTTTTCAACGGAAGGCTCCGGCGTACGAAAGGTTGCTAATACAATAACCGCTTGTACCGGCATGGGTTCCCTGCGGTTTCCCATGCAACTTCTATGTTCTATATGTAGAAGTGCGAATGTGGTACCGTGTAGAATCCACCGCTGTATGTATAGGGTTGGATAGAGCGCCGAAGTGAGACCCGAAAAGGAGACTCAAAAAGCCGGAAAATAAAAAACATATTTGTATGACATTAAGAAAGAATCGTTTATATAATAACAAGCTTTTCTTCGATTTTTACAAAATTCACAGCCAATCCAATACATGGAAAATTTATTCATATACGAAACTGCAATGAACATTTTCGTTACTCGTCAATGCGTGTTCTGTCAGATCAGCGTACAGTCATTGCTAATTCTGTTATATCTCCAACGATATCTTTTCTCGCTACTTTCGGCTGGATCGCGATTTTGATGCCCGTAATACAAAATAGATTTCATCACACGGCTCTGAAAGTAATTTGAATGAATGTGGTTATTATCCTTTTCTTCGGTCTGGTTTATGAACGCATATTCGTCAGAAAAGACTTTGTGGATGAAATCGACTATCATCAAAAAAATTATGGAAGCACAGAGATATCTTGTACCACGAGTATCCAATTACTGCTAAGTTGGTACAACCTTCGATGTCAAATCGAAAATCCACTGGGATTGTTGAATTCATACAGTTTTTTGGTGACATATCCGCTTTGGAACAAAATCAAACGTGTTATGTTCGAAGACGTCAGCGTCGGAGGACAACTTTAGGAAAAAGTGATTATTTACGGAAAATAAAAACTAGAACTTTTGATATAAAAATATGAAAAAGTTAAATTTCCAATTTAGAAATGAAGCTAAATATTTTTATATTTTGAATTTAATTTGGACGACGCTAGGTTTGATTTTTCTTTCCTACCTTGTTTGATTCTACTAATTTGGAATATCGAAAGAAGAATTCAGGGATGAGGAAGTTTTGATGGATTAGAAATAATCAAAAGATTCCGAGTAAATTTTGTGCTCAAAAGTAATCTTCTATATTCTTAATCCTTGAAAAAATACAAATTGAAACTTCGAATAGAATCTAGAATTTCATGTAAAATTTATAACAAATATTCAATTATTAAAATGTAGCAAGAATTGAAAATTTTATCCCTGGAAAGTTCCTTATAAAATTTTGATAACCGATTACTTTGGATTTCGAAGTATTGAAAGTGCTTAAATATTTAACTCACAATTTATTGATGTTTAGTAATTTAGTCCTTAGGTTTTTATGTTGTGGATCCTTCGGTAACACAATCGTCCTTCTTCACGAGAATAAAGGCTTTCCCTTATTCTATTATGAATACTTCTTATTGCACTACGTTCAGCCACTCGCTTATAATTAAGACAGAGTTTGAATAGTTTTTGAGAATGTCCACACCCGCGGGAACTGATGAATTAGTCTTCTTAAAATGCAAGAAACACTCGTACTTTCGACTCAAGGATGCAGTATCCCTGTGCACTTTCGCCCGTTTAGCTATTTACTATTATTGAAATAGAGTACCACGCACTATATCGACTCTATCGCGAATTATAGTATGGGAGGACCGAAAGAGACAGATCGATTCCGGAAACTAGTTTCCACTAAGTCAAATTATCGCTCCGCGGGTGCTTCTCAACTGTCTTGTAATTTGGACTTTGGGGAGCGGATCGATTCATGGTGGTTGCACGAATCGATTTTTGATTGGTGAAAATTATGGCGTGATTTTTCCCACCTCTTATTCTTGGAGGGAATCGATCTGTCAATTCAGCAATTTTGACAGCGCGTATCATGTGACACTCTGTCGCAATGGCAATTGCACTCACCTGTGTGGTAAAACCTCTTTGTGATGATTTTGTACTTTTGATTTCCGTGATGGTGAAATTAAACTGAATTTGAATAAAATATTCGGGAATATTCGAAAATAATTTGAAAATGATAGAAAAAGCTATTTTTATAGATTTTTGGACATCACAAACGAAAAAAATTTCAAATTCTCTGGGACGAAAATTGGAAACACGTGAGTTTATTAGGTTTGGGACTCAATTTTTACAGATTTTTCATGAAATTTATTTAATAAAAAAAAATTGAAAACAACGAATTTAATCTTGAAAATATTGTCCATCATTTTCTATGACCTTGCGCCATCTCTCAGGTAACATTCGAATGCCGTCGCGAAAGAAACTTGCAGGCTTCGAGCCGATAAAGTCATCGACAATCTTACGCACATCGTGCAGCGTTTTAAACTGTTTATCCACTAAGGCGTGCTGCATGAACCGGGACAAGTGATAGTCGGATGGGGCCAAGTCTGGTGAATATGCCGCGTGCGGGAGAACTTCCCATCCCAAGTTTAAGAGGGTCTTCTGATTCGCGCGAGCAACGTGAAGTCGAGCATTGTCATGCAGCAGTATGACTTGCCTGCTTCCTTGTCCAGTAAATGGGCTTTTCCGATCAAGTTCTTCGCTCCGTTTGTTCAGTTTTCGGCTGTAGCGTTCCGCAGTCACCGTCTGATCTGTTTCCAGGAGTTCGTAATAAAGCACACCCTTCATGTCCCACCAGATACACAGGAAAATCTTCTTTAAGTAGATGATCTGTTTCGGCGTCGATGTACTGGATTGTCCGGGATCTACCCACGACTTTTTACGTTTGTGACTCTCGTAAAAAATGTACTTTTCATCAGATGTCACAATTCTCCGCAAGAAGTCTTTTTTTTGGTGCCGGGCAAGCAGTGAAAGGCACATGTTCATACTGTTACGGTATCGAATGGTTTAATCTATCCTTTTCCCCTCTTGTAAAATGAACGAAAGTTGATTGTCGTTTTTCTTAATGTTTTGTAAAGAACTTCATTTCTGATTGATCTTTGTTCCATAAACTATTCTGAAGGACTGTCAATAGATACCCCCCTTTGATTATCCTGAATTATTTCTTCGTTAAATACAACATTTGGTGTCAGAAGTGATTGAACTCATCGCACATATTTCTGGATCTCTGGAAAAAGAGTGACAACTACCGACAGAACGCAATGAGTGACGAGTCGGATGGCGATTCGAAGATTCTTCCCCGGGGGCCAGGAAGACATCATTATCGCCCATTTTCTGTTCCCGAGAGAGGAAATGGACATGAAGAAATGAATTCGAGATTCCAGAGACAACAACAAGAGACTGATGAGTGATTTGAAACGTTGGAAAATTTGTTGGAGAGTCGGATGCAGAACTTCGAATCGAGGATGAATGATCAACTCAACGAGAAACTGGACGAACATCGGCGTGTGATCGCAACAAATTTAGATGAACGTTTTGAGGACCAACGCCAGACGATCAATCAAGGTTTTCGTAATATCATGAAGGAATTTTTGGAGGAGAGTGGATCGAGGAGAGAGCAGTCTAAAACAGATAACGTCTCATTAATTAATCTAACTAACCCCAATGCTTGTAGTAATGCTTCTGGTAGTAATCTTGCTAGCGCTGGTAATAATGCTAATCCTGCAAACAATCCTCCATTCCCAAATTCTAGTTCTGAAAATCAGAACAAAATCAAACTTCCGATTTATGACGGTAAAATACCGTGGCTCCAATACCAGAAACAATTTAATATCAGCGCGAATCACAACAGCTGGTCGGTTGAATCGAAAGGTGCGCATTCAGCTGCTTGCTTGAGAGGAAAAGAACTTGAAATTCTCGAATTTTTATCGCATGAAGATGCTAAAAATTACGACAAATTAGTGCGAATTTTAAACGAGTAATTCAGTGAGGAGCATTTTGCTTGAATGAATTATCGAGAACTAGAATTTCGCGAGAGAAAAAATTCTGAAGACATCGCGACTTTTGGAGAAGAAATCAAGAAACTATCCCGACTTTCCCATCCAAACGTTTCGCACGAGGCTCGGGATAAAATGGCTTCTAGTCAATTCATTAGAGGGCTTCACGATTCAAATATCTCTTCCCAATTGCGTAAAGAACGAATTGAATC